GGGGGAGGTCTCCATTTGGTGGGGATTGCCTTACCCCTGACTGTGGCTTCTAAGTCCTTCTCCAGACTCAGCCTGGATGCCCAGGAGCTGCCTGGGTTTGAGGGAGCTGCTATCTACTGAGGAAAGCAATGTCTAGCCAGCTCCTCAGCCTTCCCGGGTGTCCTGAGCCCTGAATGTTAATAAGACAATAAAAGAGACACTCAGTGGCTGCTCATTGATTCGCCAGACAGCCTCCAGAGCTGTTGTCACCTATGGATACCTAGCTGCATACCAGTGTCATTCCACGGGTACTGGCATTGTCCTTCCAAGGGGTTGTGCTGAGTACAGTCTGAGTGAAGGCTCCAGCACAGCTTCTAGCCCTGCTCTGTGTAGGGACAATAGGAGCCAGCTGTGCACAAATAAGTTGGTATTAAAGGCCATTTATCTGGTATTGGTCATCTTGCTGAGGCCCCTGGAAGATTGAGCTATCCAAGAAGCCAGATTCACACCCTAAACCCAAGTGGAAGCCGGGAATCCAGACATGGGGAGCAGGGGTGTTAGGGTCCCCCCACACACACTGGAGGGTGGAGGAGACAAGTCCTGGCCACATGGATGGGCCTGTGGCAACCCCATGGAGAGCCAAGTACCCTGCCTGTGGCCAACCAGACTTTCACCCAGAAGCAACAAACATCTCATGCTCAAGCCCTGGGTCAGCCGTTTTCTAAGTGACCAGCTTGTCTTATCTGTGCTATGGGAAGGCAAGTCCACCTTGGTGGCAACAGTAGAGGAAGAACAGTGGTGCCTCCCCAAGTCCGGGTCTAGGTGGTGCTGTGGTGGCTGTGGTTCGGCACAGCCACAAAGGGCTCTTAGCAACAAGATTCATGACACGTAAAGATACTCTTCTTCTCACCGCCATCTCTCCTCCTGAATGTGGGGCCTGGCCACTGCTTTGCTGTAACCTGTGGTTTCTTCCCTGGAGTGGGTCCTGCCTCTCTACAGGTTGTAGAGACGATGTGAGCGGATACACTGGGCCAGCTCAGTGTGCAGAGCAAGCGCTGTGGAATTGGTTTGTTGAGTGGAAGTGGAGAGCAGCTTCTTTCCATCGCTGTCTTTAAGGGCCTTCTGCATCCCTTAACATCATCTTCCATAAACACCAGAGTTTCCAAGTAGCTTTCTCTTTGGTTTGGCTTTTTGTGCCCATTTTGAGATTGAGAGGCATTCTCAGATACCAAGTCCAACCTTATAGTTCACTTCCTGTCAAAGTTTAGCTGGCTTCTCCCTCTCTGACCTGACGAGGGGCCCAGGAGTGTGAGTGCGGGGGAGGGCACGGTTGTGCTGGAACTTTTTCTTATGTCACTGGCCCTTAATAGCCTCTTTTAGCTGTTGCTGGTGAGATGTACTGCCCACTCTAAGAACGGGCATGCCCTTTTTTAGAGCCTTGGGTTCAATTCCTAGTACCAACCAACCAGCCAATACTCATGGTCAAAGAACAAAACAGCGTGAGAAAGGGATCAGGAAACAGCCTTGCAAGGACATGCCTCCGTTGGCCTAAAGACCCCTCATTAAGGCACCTACCAGGAGTGCCTAGGGATCAAGCCTTCAGCACATAGGCATTTGGGGGCCATTCAAGATCCAAACCAGTCAGCTGTGGTGGTGAATGCTCATAGGATGTAGAAGCAGGAGAATTAGGACCTCAAAGTCATTCTTGAATGCATACCAAATTTGAGACTAGCTGTGTTAAATGGTAAATTGCTCCCTAGCCTTGAGAAGATCCAAAGAGTAAGCTAGGCACAGTGGCATGCACCACCCCCAGGGAAACGGAGGCAAAAGGCAGCCTTGGATAGTGTCTAAAATATCCAGTCTATAGCACCTTTGAGATAACTGCTCTCATCCCCGCCTTCTTCCTTTCCTGCCTGTGCAAGTTCCCACCCAGACAGCTGGCCCGCACAGCCTCAGACTTTGAGGACACTGTCTGGCTGTCCTGGAATTCCCTACATTCCACTCCAACATCCGTGCAGGTGGGTGAGAGCCCTGGAAGCCTCAGGCAACACCCAGCTAAGAGGAGCTGCTTTGTTTGCCATCTGAAGTTCAAGGGTCTTTTGACAGCCCCGCCCCTGCCTATAACCTTAGGTGGCCTGGGGGTCTGTGGAAGGAGCCTGCACACAATGACTCTAATGCCACAAATCCATCTCCCCTCAATATCCAGGCTAGTTTCTACCCTTTCAGATACCTGGGGATATGAAGGGGATGGAGGTGAGGGAGCCCTAGCTGTCAAACTTGTTTTACCTATTTAGTAAACCTAGCATGGATAGGTCCCGCCTGATGTTTAATCACACACCTGTAATCCCAGCACTCTAGGGATAGAATAAGGGGTCCAGAGCTCCAGTCCTTGGTTACATAGCAAATCTGAAGCCATCCTGGACTACATGAGACCCTGTTACAAAGAACCACATGCATGCCACAGGTTGTTCTTGAGACTTCAGCTGAAAAGCTGAAAGAACAAGAAAATCCAATTCAGCATCCCCTTCTTGAGAAAACTAAGCAGCAATTTTCCAGGCTCAGGATCGTCCATCTCTTTAGGAATTAAACACAGGAATCCCTCCACTAGAGGCTTTGTTTCCCTGCCAGAGCAGAAGCATGTTTTGTGACAAATGGAGGTGACAGTCTGTCTTCCTGCAAGCAGCAGGCCAGGCTCTCACTGCCCCACCCCCCTCACTAACACAATTCTCGAGACAGGTCAGAATTTGGCTTTTGGGTGGGTATGGAGCTCAGTGGTAGAGCACTGGCCCAGGCTGGCCTCAGGATGGCTGCAATCTCCAACCATGATGAAATAAAAGAAAACAACAACAACAAAAAACATCCCCTTGTTTTTCTCTGAAACTCTAATAAAACAGTGTTCAAGCTTAAATAGTAAGTTATAACAAAAGAAGACTAAAATCTCTTCCAGTTTTAACACTCTAAAGATCAAGATTTTTTTCCTTATCACGGAAGTGTGAGAAAACACATAAAACATACAGTTTAACATGTCCAACACAGCTAGCATTTGGGTGACATTTTGAGGACCCCTATATGTAAATCCCAAGACAGCCCCAGCTCTTACGATTTGATCAGCAAAATAGGCATCCCTAAGAAAAGATTGTACCATATTATTGAAATAGGCTATTTTCTTTTATGTCCAGCTTTGTGTTCAAAGCTCTTTTTTGTGATATTCATAATAGTGTATATAGCCATGGCTTATGCTTTTTTTCCCAGTGTATGAGGTTTCTTTGTAATGAGATGATTTCCTTCCCATGATCTACTCATGTTGCTACACTGGCTTATCAGCCTAGGACTTTAAGCTGTATGAGTGGGGGAGGGTGGAAGGGTAAAAGGGGGCGAGTGCAGGTGCCCGAGGCTTTGAATGCCCCTGGAGCTGGTGTTGCAGCTGGTGTAGGTGCTCAGATAAAGTCTGCTACAAGAGCAGTATGCTCCTAGCGGCTGGGCCCCTGATCTCTCCAGCCCCTGATCCAGGACTTTCTAAGTTCACTTTACTTACTTTGTTTTCGAGACAGAGTCTCCTATATCCTAGGCTGGCTTCCAGCTGACTATATAGCCAAAGATGACCTTGAACTCCTAATTCTCCTGCCTCCGCTTCCTAAATGCTGGGATTACAAACATCCATCATCATGCTGTGATCTACCTCCACATACACCAACATACATAGAGTTGACTTCTTTATGAGCCCAGGAACTTGAGTTTGGCTTTGGAGTATTGTAAACCCCCCCCCCTTCACATTCCTGGGCAAACTACTAACGTTTTGTCTGTTTTGTTACTGTTACTCGCTTTTTTCATTCTTTTGTGGAAATTTTGGAATGCAGCGAATTAAACCACCTTTCTTGGTGAGTGATAGCATGATTTTTTTCCCTGAACTTGAGTCAGTAAGCTTAAGATGAACAGGTAAGTTGGGCATTTCCTCCAGGAAATCAAGAAAATGATTAGCATCCAAGCTTAAGGAATTTGCCCTGCAGGTGTTAGGCCTAGTTAAGAGACGCTAAGCCAAATAGGACAAAGCATCCTTAAGCTCTTCCCAGAGCTGGACCTGCCTCACAGCACGCAGGTTGCTCCTTTCTATTGGGTATGAAGGGACTGGTATGCCTCTGAGCTGCTCCTATAGGCATGGAAATGTCTCATGGTGCACGCCCTCTCTCTTTCTGTGTGTGTCTGTCTGTCTGTCTCTTTGTCTCTCTGTTTCTCTCCTCCTCCCCAACCCTCTAATGAGCACACTGGTGGGCCACCAGGCCTTCTGTGGGAATCCATTAACAAACCCGTTAAAACCTGGCTTTCAACAAATGGGTAGGTTACCTTTTAATTACAAGAGTTCAAAGCAGTAAGCGGCTGCCTGGACGTAGGGCAGGCCTTCCAGGACAAAACTCCAGCCACACACCAGCACCACAGGATCCGCCTAGATCAAGTCATTTCCCTTGGGCATGGTGTGAGCAAAGGTGACTGATGGAGGTCCTAGAGGGACAGAGATCTGAAACCCGGCAGCAGATGTCCAGATTTGCACTAAAAAGGATGAGGGGGGTTACTGGTCCCCAAAATGATCCTTTCTGTGAGCTTTGCAAGTGAACCAGTGAGTGCTACCTGGTCATTCTAACTGGTCCCAGAGGAAGCAATTCCAATTGCAAAATGTTCTCCCGGAAGCCTAGCCCAACAAGCCCGTCTGCCGGGAGTCCATAGAAAATTCCGGTAGGCTCACACGTGTCATTTGTTGGTTTGGGGGTAGCTCAGTGGTTTGCCTCTATGCACCTGCTGCTGCTTGGTGCACGATTGGACCCATCATAGGGCCTACCTACCCATGTTTAAATATCCCCAAGGCAAGGGGCTTCTCCATCTTGTTGGGGTTCACTGTGATCAGGCGTCAGCAAGAGAGGGAACCGTCTAAGCACTGTCCCGCCCCCAACTGACTTAACATTTGCCTGCTTCAGGGCCACTCCAGAGAAAACGCCTGCCCCCGCTGACCCTGGCTGTCCTCTCCCCAGGTTTCGGCATGACCACCCCAGCCACGGTGGGCGGGAAGGCCTTCCTCATCGCCTACGGACTGTTCGGCTGCGCGGGGACTATCCTGTTCTTCAACCTCTTCCTGGAGCGCATCATCTCGCTGCTGGCCTTCATCATGCGCGCCTGCCGGGAGCGCCAGCTGCGCCGCAGCGGCCTGCTGCCCGCCTCCTTCCGCCGCGGCTCGGCGCTGTCGGAGGCGGACAGCCTGGCGGGCTGGAAGCCCTCGGTGTACCACGTGCTGCTCATCCTGGGCCTGTTCGCAGTGCTGCTGGCCTGCTGCGCCTCGGCCATGTACACCAGCGTGGAGGGCTGGGACTACATGGACTCGCTCTACTTCTGCTTCGTCACCTTCAGCACCATCGGCTTCGGGGACCTGGTGAGCAGCCAGCACGCCGCCTACCGGAACCAGGGGCTCTACCGCCTAGGCAACTTCCTCTTCATCCTGCTCGGCGTGTGCTGCATCTACTCGCTCTTCAACGTCATCTCCATCCTCATCAAGCAGGTGCTCAACTGGATGCTGCGCAAGCTGAGCTGCCGCTGCTGCACGCGCTGCTGCCCGGCGCCCGGCGCGCCCCTGGCACGGCGCAACGCCATCACCCCGGGCTCCCGGCTGCGCCGTCGCCTGGCCGCGCTGGGCGCCGACCCCGCCACCCGCGACAGCGACGCCGAGGGCCGCCGTCTGTCGGGCGAGCTCATCTCCATGCGCGACCTCACGGCGTCCAACAAGGTGTCGCTGGCGCTGCTGCAGAAGCAGCTGTCCGAGACGGCCAACGGCTACCCGCGCGGCGTGTGCGTCAACACGCGCCAGAACGGCTTCTCGGGCGGCGTGGGCGCCCTGGGCATCATGAACAACCGGCTAGCAGAGACCAGCGCCTCCAGGTAGAGCGGCCTACCGCCCCCAGCGCCGCGGACCCGGCCCGGGCTGCGCGCCGCCGGGCGGCTTTGCTTCACTGCTCTCTGAGACGGCGCTTTCTTAATCTGTATCCAATAAAAACGAAACCAAAAAAACAACCACAGAAACAAACATGTTTTCTAAAGAAATGCTATTTGGCCAGGCCTGGCGTTGTCAAAGGCAAGTGTTAGATGAGACTATAATTTTTTTTTTTTTTGAGTCCCCTCTTGGAGAATCGTGGTCTGCAATAGATTCCCCCCCCCCGCCCTCTCCCCAGAAAGAAAAAGTGGCACCCCAAATTCCCCGTCCGCGCCAGCGCATACTGCGGCAAGGAGAGTGCATTCTTGGGCTTTGCAGACAGGCACTAAACCCTTCCCCATGCGCATAAGCAGCTGGCAACCCTGAAGCATATGGTGCCGCCTTTCATGGCTCTGAATTACCTCCTCAGCCTTTAGAATCCTGGCCCAGCCTAGCAGCTTCCTTCTGGTCGTCAGAAGTGATATAGTCACAGTTTTGACAGGTGGGGGCGGGGCGCGCCATCTGTTGCCTCCCGTGTGTATATATAGAACAGCCACTACACACAGGGAACGGTGTAGTATTATGCAATGAGAGGAAACACAGCACCGACCTGCGGTCGGTGGCACCCCCTCACACACACACACTCGGAAATTGCAAATGGTGAGGGGCTTTGCTGGCCTTTCTCAGCCGCAGCTGGTCCACTTACTGAGTTGTTCTTGTGGAAGCCCAGGGGGACCTGTGGGGAGAGGAACTCTCCCACAGGGGGTCCTGCCCCACCTCAGCGTGAACTCTGAAACGAGCCCCCAACCTTCCTTTCATTCACAAGCCTCACGCACGCACGCACGCACGCACGCACGCAGGGCTGCTTTCCATTGCTGACTAGGACAGGTTGTCTCCTCACAGATAAGATTTTGTTATTGTTGTCTTCTTAACTTCTTATCGACCAGAGCAGCTCTTCCCCTTCTTAGAGAGCCTGGGGGTGCAGAGCACAGCGGGCCACCCACGTTTGCTCTGACTCAGGCCTCTGCCCTCTACCCACACGGGGCCTACAGCTCCAGAAACCCAAAGCAGCCATATTGCCAATGTCGAGCCATTGACCTCCTGCGCCCACCACACAGAGTTTGGGGGCAAGCACAGTGAGGTCACATTCTGAGTACTGTGTGGTCTCGAGACCGAATGATCAGGCGGGGTTGCTTTCTTTCTGCAGTCTGCACTGGAGGTGCAGGAGGCAGGAGGGAGGGAGCCGCCAGACCCATGGATGGGAGGAACCCTGGGGCTAAAATGGTGTTCTGAATGGTCCTCAGGCTGAAGGGAGAATCTCCCAGACTGCCTCTGCAGAGGGAAGTCCAGGAGCCGCAGGCTTCCCTGAAATGGCAGAGTCTGAAGCCGTGAAAGAACACACCGCTGCCCTTTGTCTCAGCTAAAGAAATGTCAACATTTGGGAAAAGTCGTGTCGTTGTTTGTAAATATATGGTGTGACCCAATGCACACGGAATTTTTACAAAAGTGTCATCTCCATACCGTCCCTCTCCCTGGCAAAAGTGCCTGGAGCGTGTGTGTGTGTGTGTGTGTGTGTGTGTGTGTGTGTGTGCGCGCGCGCATGTACACTCACACGCGCAGAACATGTTTGAATGTCAAACTCCTCTTTCTCCTTCCAGTTTCAGTTAGGAAGGGGGAAAACTAACCCAGGACACGGGGACTCCGTTATTCTGAGTAGTTGCTAATCTGGTTTGAGGTTGGTCTTTAAACACAGGCTCTAGTCTGGTGTGGAACCAATGAGATAGGACTGGCAGGAGAGAGAAAGTCTTGCCAACTCTTCAAGGGTAGACCCCTCCAGAAGCCGTGTGTCCAGGATCCACTGTGACTGTCCATCAGGGCCAGCTCACGACCTACCGTCTGGATAATGTGCCAGAAGGGGACTACATCCTCTAAGACATGTGTCTTCAGTATAGGGCTTCTGACTGGAAGCAAAGCACAGGCCTTATCCCTTTAAAAGAGGAACAGATTAAAAAGCATCCAATTAGAGATGTTACCTAGGCAACGGGGAAATAACTTGGGGAGCTGAGCTATCCAGAGGGGGAAGTAGAGATCCCCATGGCAGAGGCATCTGGACCAGGCAAAATAGCAGTTTGCCCATGGGAGGAAGTGCCGGCTTCAGCGCTGTAGGGCCAAGGTGGACAAAGTAAGACATCCAGGACGCCACACTGGCAAATGCATAGGTCTGCATGGAATCCTGCCTCCTTGGAAGCAGGGGGAACGAGCTGCAGAGTCCTCCTCCAGGGGAGAGGAATGCCAGGAGTCCTTGGCAGCCTCCTCCGTCACCATGCTTCTCAGCTCGAATAAGTTGCTTATGTTGCACAGCCTGAGCTGTTTGCAGTTTCTTTCCTGTGCTTTGGCTTCGGAGGAAGGCGATTGGCTGCAGTGAGAGCAAGTTTCACAATGAAGCATGTGCGTGACGTGAGGGGGCCGGGGAAGGAAGCCCCTGTTCTCCTCCCCTCTCATGACTTCCCAAGGAAACGTCTGTCCTCCGAGTACAACACACAGTATCTCAGGATCCAGTGGCATGTGTACGTTGCTGCCCCTGTCCCTCTGGCCCCACCACACAGCACCAGTCTCCGTCTCACTATGTACCACATGCCACCATTCTCTGCTCAGACCAAAGGATTCAGTGCCCCAGGTGCCTGGGGGCTGATCTCTTAAAAAGCTGGCGCTCGCCAGGCCCCCAGGGAATTGATAGAGCAATAGAGTCAGGTGTTGTGGTTTCCTGTTTAAGAGAAAACTGAGGACCAGGAATAGGCTCTCCATAGTTTGAAAACAATGACATTGATCAAGACCCCTTGCTAAGAAGGGCTCCATGTCCATAGATGGCAACACCTCTTCCATGATCACGGATATATCTAGTCTGACCTATGGCTGGCAGCTCACCAGTGTTTTCAATTCCTGTGGGCTGTGGCACACCTGCCTAACCTCAGGTCCACACTCACAGCGTCCTACTGCGCTGTGGGCTCCTATAATGACATTCTGACTCCCATAATCCTTTGTCTTCTGATTGTGGCCACACAGAACACAGGAACCAGGGGCTGGGCCTCAGGCCTTCTCAGAGTTAATTGGGTAGGTAAAGAAGCCAGTGTTGGTGTCATTGCTCACTAAAGTGTAGCCAGTCCCTGTTTCTTCCAAATGAAGCCTCAGGTCCTGGTTGGATGGCCTAAGGGCTCAGGCAGTTGAGGGTCTTCAACCCTTGCATAGTGACAGGGAGCCCTGGCCCTTGCATGTCATGTCATAGGCAGACACACGCACAGCAGCCTTACAAACAGCTACTAGCCCATTCTGCAGAGGACCCTCCTAGCCGGAGCCACTTTAAGAAGGACTTTTCCGGTTTAATTCTCTAGAGGTCTCCTAGAGCTTTGTTCCTCTTTGTGTTGGGGGAAGGGTTATATACAGTGTGCATGTGTTTGTGTGTTACACAGAAGCCAGCATCCAGCCCCAAGCCCACCCTAAGAAGACCTCCCCCACCCCTGTAGCCTCCTCTTCCCACAGGTTCTGGCGTGAGGGTACCTGAGCCCTTATTAACAGAGATGCTTCTGGGGGACAGAGCCCAATACCACCTTACCCAGTCAGCCACCACCGGGCCTGTGGGCCACCTGGGTCTATCTTAATGTAACCTTTTACACTCTTGGGGGGGGGAAATAAAAGCACAATTCTCTACCAGTGTCTGGCAGGCCTTGCCAGCCAGCAGCTCAGAGCACTTCCGCATCCAGGAGAGGGTGTGGGGCTTCGTCTGTCTGTCTCTGGGGTTGCTGACCAAAGTCTGGTGACAGTGAAGGCTCTTTCTGCAGAGTGGAAAGGGGGAGGACCTATTGAAGCCGTTCCTGGCCCCACATGGGCTCAACAGCACAGACCCTGGAGCAGTCCCAGCACCTGCAGGCGTCCTGCAGTGGCGTCACTGAGCAAAGCCAGCCTCACTGTGCATGGAACAGAAGCGAGACCCGAGACTCTTGCCCCTCCTCCCAAGGAAGCTGGCCCTGGCTTTACAACTAATATTTTATGCTGCATTCTCTGGGGAGGGGTTCCAGCATGCAGGCAAGCCCATGGCACCTGGAAACAACACATCTCTCCTTCTGAGCAGCACTTTGCTCTGAGAGAGGACTAAAGGGTATTTAAATCAATGATGAATAAAAAGCAGCCTGCCACCCTTTAAGCTGTTTGTTTTCTGTCTGGTTGGGCCTCCTCCTCCTCCTCCTCCTCCTCCTCCTCCTCCTCCTCTTCCTCCTCCTCCCGACTTCCTGTTCTCACTGCTTCTCCAGGTCCCTTCAGACTTGGGACTCTACAAATCCAGCAGAGCTATCCCTGGGCCAGGCTGGGCTAAGGTTAGGAAAGTCAGGGCACAAACTGAACCACGGCCACATTCTCATACTTGGTTGCACTTGACCCTCTAAAGTGATCTTGAAAAGATGCTCAGACCAGGCCCTACCCAGAAGGGACCCTGGGCAGGCACCAGGACTAATACTTTTTTTTCTTTTTTTTTTTTTTTTTTTTTTTTTTTTACTTAGTGCAGGTGATTCTCCAGTTTGCACTACAGATACAGAGCAGTCACATTATGGAGAGTCCCCACTCAGAGCCAAGCTCTGGATGCTGCATCCAGATCTGCAGTCACAGAAATGGCTCAGCTCCTGGCTTTCCTCATCTCTCAAGTGGGATCATGACCCTGCATCCTACTTCCCCAAAAGATTAGGAGTAAGCAGAGGCTGGGAACTCTTGAGAAGTACAAAGTGCTCCAGGGATGCAAGGAGTTCTCACTCTGAGGGGCATTTTATGAGGGAAGTCCCTGTCACTTCCCCATGGCAGACAGGCTTTAACTAGTGCATTGTCCTGGAAAACCTCTCCTTCACAGCAGCCCTCGGCTCTAGCATCGGCTCTAGCATCGCAGAGTCTACTGAGACATCCTTTCTCCTCCATCTGCCCCTCCTAGTGATACAGTATTACAGAGGAGTCCTTGAAGTCAACAGAGCCTTTCTCAAGAAACTAGGGCCCCAG